TCCACATTGATACCATTGGGCTGCAGGGTTCCCAAGCGGAATATGAGTTGCTGTTCCTGCAACCTTCAGGTGGCATCGTTGTGGCACTGCAGGAGGCCCAGGATGGACATGTCATCTGAGGAATGGGAGGGGGAGTTGAAATGGTTTGCGACTGGGAGGTGCAGTTGTTTGTTGCGAACCGAGCGTAGGTGTTCTGCAAAGCGGTCCCCGAGTCTCCGCTTGGTTTCCCCGATGTAGAGGAAGCCACACCGGGTACAGCGGATGCAGTATACCACATTGGCAGATGTGCAGGTGAACATCTGCTTGATGTGGAAAGTCTTCTTGGGGCCTGGGATGGGGGTGAGGGAGGAGGTATGGGGGCAGGTGTAGCACTTCCTGCGGTTGCAGGGAAAAGTGCCGGGTGTGGTGGAGCTGGAGGGGAGTGTGGAGCGGACAAGGGAGTCATGGAGAGAGTTGTCCCTCCGGAAAGCAGATAAAGGTGGGGAGGGAAAGATGTCTTTGGTGGTGGGGTCGGATTGCAGATGGCGGAAGTGTCGGAGGATGATGCGTTGGATCCGGAGGTTGGTGGGGTGGTACGTGAGGACGAGGGGGATTCTTTTTTGGTTTTTATTGCGTGGACGGGGTGTGAGGGATGAGGTGCGGGAGATGTGGGAGACACGGTTGAGGGCGTTCTCGACCACCGAGGAGGGGAAGTTACGGTCCTTGAAAAACGAGGACAACTGAGATGTACGGGAGTGGAATGCCTCATCCTGGGAGCAGATGCGGCGGAGGCGAAGGAATTGGGAATAGGGGATAGCATTTTTGCAGGAAGGTGGGTGGGAGGAGGAGTATTCTAGGTAGCTGTGGGAGTCGGTGGGCTTGAAATGAATATCGGTTTCTAGGTGGTTGCCCGATATGGAGACAGAGAGGTCCAGGAAGGGGAGAGAGGTGTTAGAGATGGTCCAGGTAAACTTAAGGTTGGGGTGGAAGGTGTTAGTGAAGTGTATGAACTGTTCGAGCTCCTCGTGGGAGCACGAGGCGGCGCCGATACAGTCATCAATGTAACGGAGGAAGAGGTGGGGTTTAGGGCCGGTGTAGGTACGGAAGAGGGATTGTTCCACGTAACCTACAAAGAGGCAGGCGTAGCTTGGGCCCATGCGGGTACCCATGGCTACCCCCTTTGTCTGTAGGAAGTGGGAGGAATTGAAAGAGAAGTTGTTGAGTGTGAGGACGAGTTCGGCTAAGCGGATGAGGGTGTCAGTGGAGGGGGACTGGTCGGGCCTGCGGGACAGGAAGAAGCGGAGGGCCTTAAGGCCATCTGCATGGGGAATGCAGGTGTAGAGGGACTGGACGTCCATGGTAAAGATGAGGTGTTGGGGACCGGGGAATTGGAAGTTCTGGAGGAGGTGGAGGGCGTGGGTGGTGTCACGGACATAGGTAGGGAGTTCCTGGACCAAGGGGGAGAAAATGGAGTCGAGATAGTTGGAGATCAGTTCGGTGGGGCAGGAGCAGGCGGAGACAATGGGTCGACCAGGGCATTCAGGTTTGTGGATTTTGGGAAGGAGATAGAAGCGGGCAGTGCGAGGTTGGGGAACGATGAGGTTGGAGGCCGTGGGTGGGAGGTCACCTGAGGTGATGAGGTTGTGGATGGTTTGCGAGATGATGGTTTGGTGCTCAGGGGTGGGGTCATGATCAAGGGGGCGGTAGGAGGAGGTGTCGGAGAGTTGGCGTCCGGCCTCGGCGATGTAGAGGTCAGTGCGCCTTACTACAACTGCACCTCCCTTGCCCGCGGGTTTTATGGTGAGGTTGGGATTGGAGCGGAGGGAGCGGAGGGCTGCACGTTCTGCGGGGGAGAGGTTGGAGTGGGTGAGAGGGGTGGAGAGGTTGAGGCGATTGATGTCTCGACGGCAGTTGGAGATGAAGAGGTCGAGGGAGGGTAGGAGGCCTTGGGGTGGTGTCCAGGAGGAGGGGGTGTGTTGGAAGCGGGAGAACCAGCTGACTTATGATCATACATTCAAGGTGCAAACTCGTGAACACTACATTTGATCACTACCCTTTTCACTTGCAGTGCCAAATTGTAGAATGTGTGCAATACCCAAGGTATGTGTTTGCTCTACATTGCCTGGACATGTTTACTAGTGTCAAATCTACTCCGATTCCGGGACCTCTTTTAGCTTCATTTTTAGCTATTGCAGCACAGACACCAAAGGCTTTTTTTTTTTAAATCTGAAGGTGTAGCAGTTTATCTTGTCTGCATTAAATTTTAGCTGCAGTTTTGTCCACTTAAATATTTTGTCAAACTTATTCTTTAATCTCTTGCCTGTTTAGTTTGATTACAGTGCCAGTCCTACTATGGTATCCTTTGTAAATCCGATGACTTTGCTTTAAGTTTTGATATCTGCATACATTAAGTTTATCTATTTTATCTTAAGACTCTGTGTTCCTTGCCACCTGCTAACATAATCCCCTGCACTGTCTTATTTTTCACTTTTCTAGTACAGTCTGTATTCCGTTTTGTTTCCCTTGTCTTTTAAGAACCTGGCTTAAACTTTTTTTTTTCTGTTTCACTTTGGTCTTTATAGACAGCTGTCTAGGAGCTATAGCCTGGATGCTTTTCTTTAACCCTCATGGAATTTGTCAACTTCTATTCTTCTCTTGGAAGACCTTCCACTGCCATTTTACTGTTTTACCTGTCAGTCTTTGATCCCATTCCAGTTCTTTTCTTTAATTCACCACTGTTAGCCCTCCTCTTTCTACCCCACCTTGCATTTTTGTACACTTGATTCATATGTTTTTCCAAAACATTTCTAAAACTAGTGATATTTTGATTCCTGTTTCCCAAATATTAACCCACTGAACCATACTGCACTTTACCACTTAATTCCCCAAAACTAGGTCTAGCAATTGTGCCTTCTTTGTTAACCCAGAAACATGTTGATCAAGAAAGTGCACACTTCAGGTATTCTTCTTCATTGCTTTTTATTACTTTCCAAATCTATATTATTTCGCTTTCTGTACTGTGATAATTGAAGTCTCCTATTATCACTATTTTAACGTTCTTGTATCTTTCTGCAAATTGCCTGCAAATTCACTTCTATTCTCTCCATACCATCATCTGATTGCATACACAATATGCCCAACAGAGTGCTAACTCTTTCTAATTCTCCCTTAAATCTAACCAACTGGATTGTCTTGAAACAATCAAGTACCTCATCCTTTTCCAGTGTTGTGACTGCATCGTTGATCAATATTACCACAGTTTTTGTTTATTTCTTTCTTTAGCACCAGCTATAGCCAGGACTATTAAGTTCCCAATTCTCCCTTTTTTGAGTTTGATCTCTGTTATTGCCACTGTATCATCCTATATGGCAAAATGTGACTGCAACTCACCACACTTATTCAGTTATTTTAAATCCATCTAGGCCTGTCTCTTACTTTGACCCACGTCTTAATGCCTCTCTGTTCATTACACCCTTCTATTTTATAAGTTATATTCTCTTTATTCTAATGCTTTTTGTCTCTATTAAATCTCCTGGGCTCCTTGTTCCTCTTTTCCAATCCTCCTTCCTGTGTTTTTCCCTGCCAAATTAGTTTTAAACCTTCCGCACATAATTGGTTAAACTTTTTGGAAGGTCAGTGGGCCCCACTCCACTGATGCACAACTTGATCCCTATGAGCAATGCATTGCTACATTTCTCAGTGCTCTTGATGCTGTAATTTGTCCCATGGTGTTATGGATTTGCATTAGACTGCATTACCCATGGTGTTGCCCCACTAATTTAATACTTAAATGCTGGTTTGTGTGCACCACCCTTGTGGAGGTATCCGACCTTTCTGACCTCTTCCAATCAAGCCAGATTGCCATCCATTGAAAATTACTCGCTGATAAATGTGAAAAGGATTGTTCAAGTAGGTTGGTGAGATACCTCCAGTATCAATGAAATTTCTCATTACTTAGAGACTTCTTTCTTTTCTCTCCAGTGGTTTTATCATTTAATAAAACATGTATGGCATGTAACCTGTAAATCTGCATGCACGTTTGTACTTCACTTGAGCCTAAGGGAATGCTGATGCAGGTGAACCAAGGTTCTCCCACCCAAGCACGCATTATGGTTGCATGTTTTTAACTCCTAAGGTTTTACCCTAAGCAACACTAGTGGCTTTTTATATGTATCCAAAGCAGTTGTGCAACAACTGGAGTAATTTGTTTTTTTCACTTCTCAGGGAAGACAAAAAATCAGGGGATGTAGCTTCTGAAGATATTGAATCAGATGAATATTCTGAGGAATCTAGCATTGAAGGTTTTTATGGAACTTCACCGCCTAGTACCCCACGACAGATAAAACGCATGTCAACTAAATATCACAGGAATAATGTTGGGAAAACAGACAGTCGCTCTGGTAATAAAGGTTAGTATGATTTAGAAGTTTGCTTTGCTTCCCATTAGTATCTTGTAATGAAAGAGTGCACTGCTATTAAATAATCTCAGTTTTGAAGTTATGATAGTTTACAGCAGTGGCTACTGTCTAGGATTCATAGTGACTTTGTCTGATGCTAGGATATTTCAAATCATTTTTTAAACTGGCTATTTTCCATGTTGCGCCAACTTTATATACTGCATTAAATATTACTGTAAATACTATAAGACATTTCAAGGCACTTCTTTTATTGCGAAACGCATTTATGACATGGAGCCATGGAGGAGTATTTGTTCAAGTGACCTAAAGCTTAGTCAAAGAGGCAGATTTTAAGCAGTGTGTTAAGGGAGAAAAGCAAAATCAACAGGCAGAGTGTTTAGCCCTCTCCAACTCCATTAACTTGGATTTTTCTGGTAGTTTCAGTTGGATCCCATAGGCTCTAATTTCCTTGACTAGTCAGCCATGAAGGACCTTATCAAAACCTTGCTAAGGTTCATGTTGACCCCTTCAAAGTATTATCCTCATTAGCACTCCTAGTTATACAATTTTTGGCTTAATAAATCCAAGGTGAATATTCCTGATTTAATCTGTGTGCCTCCAAGTGTAGATATATTCTGTCCCTCAGTATTCTTTCCAGTAACTTTCCTACCAAGAGGGCATGGTTAGAGGACTTGAAGCTTAGAAGAGTTTACAGAGATGGAGGGAGTAAGCTAGTGGTTTTGAGAACCTTTTAAAACAAAGATGAGAATTTTAAAATCAAGAATTCTTTGGATAGGAGCCTGTGCAGATCAGCAAGCACAGGAGCGAAAGGGCAGGGCAGGGGGGCTGGTTTCAGAGCATTTTCAAGGTAACTAAGGAACAGGATTTGAGGTAGAGTCAAAAACAGTAGCTTCAGTCATCTTAATATTTAACTGGTGGAGATTTCTGTGCATGCAATGCTGGACGCTGCAACTGATTTCTCCCATGCCAGTTTGTAGGCACACATTGATCGCTCTACCCTCGTTTACCCAATACCAATTTGTGTATGGTTCAGGTGCTATTCTTTGAGGTTCTGCATCTTAATTTGGTGCCTGGCACCTCATTGTGGCTATGCAGATCCTCTTTCCTACTTCTCTCTATGTCATTGGTGCCTACATGGGCCACGACAACTGGATTCTCCCCTTCCCATTGCAAATTCTTCTTCAGCCTGGAGCCAGTATCCTGAAACTTGGTACTAGACTGACGACATAACCATGTGGACTTGTACTGTTTGCTGCAGAGCTGCCATACCTCTAATTTATGTGGTCCCATGCTGCTGCTGCTACTACATTCCTTCTAGCTCTTCCCTCTCTCCTCCCGCAAGGGTTTGTTCTTTGCAAACTTTTCCATCAGGTACAGGTGGAGCAGAACAATCCAACTACTTGGAGCATTGAGTCCAGACCCATGCTTTGTAACAGAGGACTGGTAGAATCTCACTGTGTAGTGACACTTGGGTGTTTGCGTATGAAGAGTCTACACACAGCTTGATGCAGTGTCGCGCAAAGGCAGCCAGCATTGGGTATGTCCTTCTGTCATCTCCCCACAAGCACAGGGGCAGGGACGGGGCAGGCACACAATGATCCAGAGTTTTGAATAGTGTCCCTGTGGCCCTTCAGATGAAGTGGCACAAGCTTAGGGAATGGGCCAGATCTGCATCACATATAATAAACCTAAAGTACCTACCATCTCATGACCAGATTTTTTTTTTAAAACTCAGTGGAGAGGAAGTGAGCCTCCCATCTGCCAGTTTCTGCCTCACCTCGGTGCTGTGCTGCTCCCAAACTTTGCTCCCATATCCTGGCCCCTCCAAACAATATGCCTGGCACCATCAAAAAATCTGACCAGTTCCCAAAAAACATGGTTTTGTTCTTGCTTTGATTTGTACCTTGAATTAGTTGCAGATGCTCATGAATCTGCGCACTGAGTGGATTCGAGCAGAAAAGATCCATGTTGTCCATGTACAGAGAGTGTTCGACCTGCAAACCTTAGGTTCGCATTCTTCCAGGTGCGAAAATTTCTGTACAACACACAAACAAGGCAGGAGAGAGTGGGCAACCCTGCCTGACTCCAGACCTTATTGGGAGACAGTGATTCCCACCAATTGATTGAGACTGCACTACTGATATTGATGTGGAGCAGTCAGATCCAATTACAGATTCCCTACCCAAAGTCCATTTTGGAGAACGAACATGTCCCTCATGTACGTGTTTGATATCCTGTCTAAGGCCGCCTCCTGGTCCAGGCTGACGAGGCAGGTGTCCACGCTGCTATCCTGCACGTAAGCAATCGTATTCCTGAGGAGAGTGAGGCTGTCTCAGATCTTCCTGCCTGGTACAGTGCAGGCTTGGTTGGGGTGAATCCCTGACCCAAAACGGACCCGACCTGGTTGGCGGTTGTCTCAGACGGAATTTTATAATCCGTATTCAACAGTGAAATTGGTCACCAATTTCTAATTTCCTTCCTCTCTTCCTTTTGCTTGTGATGTCACTCTTTGTTTTTCCCCCAAATGAGAGCTGACTGCAGGCCCCTCTTTCCCAGCCTGCCTTGCTGTGACAGTTACAGCAGGCCGTACTGTGTACTCTTGGTTTACCTACCTCAGTTTGTTGAAAGAAGCAATATTTAGAGATGAAAGTGGGAAGTCTTAATGAGGATATTGAATCAGCACCTAGTTATAGTGGTGGAATAGGGCATTGAGATTGCAAACATCCTGATCTGCTTGACAAAATGAGCAGAGAGGCAGTGGTAATAGTGGCAACTCTACAGAGTCCAGTGGGGATTTAAGATGATAGAATTTGGTTTTGATCTCCTAAACCGAAAGAAACTGCATCCGGTTTAAGAATGGATTTCTGTGAAGTACCCTGAAAATATATAGGCAGTGAATTGATTGAGGGGAGTGGTGGGACTGTAAATGTGATCGTTGTGTGTGCACATGCAAAATCTGATCCATATCTCCTCGCCAAGTTGGCAGGGTGTTGAAAATATGCTGAGCATGGACCCTTGGACACTTGGTAATGGTATAGAGTTCAAAAGATAAGACATTGTTGTGGATACCTGCTCCTAATAATCCGGGTAATTGTGAAACCACCCAAAGCTAGCACACTTGAGATGACTGAATGTCCTTGTAATCCTAATCGTTTGTTTCTGTACACCGAATTAAGATTTGCTTGCTTCTGCTTTATCTTCTATAGTCAAATTGTTCTGTGTTCACATGAAATCTAGGACCCCCTCCACTGTCAAAATGATTTAAAAACCCTTTCTTCATTCCAGGCTGTCCATTTTTGTCCAATATGACTTCCACACTAGCTTAAATAGATAAATGCAAGTTGAACTGCACAACGTATAAATGAATTGCTGCTGAAATATTGTGTTTGAAAAGTACATTAGCACTTGTGTCTCTGTTGTTGTGGAAGTTGTTTTAGGGCATTTCTTCACATCTTAAAAACCTATGTTGATGAAACCACTTTGACATTCCGGAATGTGGGTATAGGTGTTTCCAATAATCCTGTGCTGCAGAAAAAGTTCCTTAATCTGATTCTGTTCTAATATGTTTCTGGTAAACCCCTATTTATTCTGCAAACTGCAGCAGTTCGAGCCTTAGTATCAGAATTCTCACGTGACCGATGCTGTGGGATATAGGTTGCTAGACCTGTGTTTGAGATCTGCAGTGAGAAGCCATAAGATGCTCTGACAGACTGCAATTCTTTGAAATAAGAGCATTTTGTGCTCTGGAACAAAAAAATTTGCTAATTGTAACGTGAAAAGTCCAACAATTTATTACACACAATGTGTAATTCCTTTCTAATTTTAAAAGAACAGCATAAATGCTAACAGGGGTATATTACACACCAGACGAGACCCAACATGGTCTGTAAATCCAATACAAGATGGTTAATTGTTTTAAATTGTAATTTCACATTGAGTGGAGTTATTAATATATAATTAGAATGTAAAGGATGTGGTTAAATCCTGCGGCCTTTTACACAGCACTGTGAGTGATTTCGCGTACTGCCAGTGCATTCCATTTAAAACCGTTAAATATTTAGTATCACCAAAGCTTCATTTCCCTTTGAATTCTGAATAAATTAGTTATTAAAGTTGTTTTTGCTCTGTTTGTCCACTACAGTAACTCCAGATAATGTGGGAATAATACAATATGCAGCTGTCATCACACTGGGTAGGCTCACAGATGGACTTTAATGACATTGAAGCTCGTATGAGAGCACATCTATCTTTGGGTAAGGGTCCTAAGTTCAATTCCTAAACAGGGTGAAAGTAAAGTTCATTTAGATGATATATATCTTGCTTCTTAACATGAACTTCATTGCAATATCCATTTAATGAAAATGGTGGCTGTCTTTGCATATTTAACTACTTTCTCTTAAGAAATAAATTGAAAAGACTTCTATCCATAGGATTGGTCAAACTTGGGGCCTCTCCAACATGATTTGTCAAAATCTATCCTAGGTTGCAGCTAAGAGTCAACGTTCAGTTACGGTTTTATACGTAGTATCGTATCTCTAAATTGCAAAAATTTATCTGAGTTATCAATTCTTTATTATTCATTAGGCTGAAGAAACAAATATGAGATAGAGGTTACCAATTCAGCAGCTTCTGCTGGTGCAGTGTGAATGATTCTGATGCCGTCAGAAATGGATTTTTTGGGGCAAAACTTCAGTATGTATGTGGTGGTCTCACTTGGATAGCCATAATCCTGAATTGAATTATTTCTCATGTTCTACTTAGAGAATAAGTGGCTACAGTCATAGTCAGTTGATTTAAGGATTATCTAGATTTTCTATGGAAGTTTGAAACCTGGGACATTGTCTAGTCATTTACCAGGTTGCTTACCCAAAGAGTTAGGGCTGTCGCCATTTTGTAGTGTGGTGTGTATTCAGCGGGGCTTTGAAATTTTAGACAAGTACATGGTTTTATTGGATGCCCCATGTCAACACTACTAGATATCACCTAGTGAATGTATTTGTGAAGGATGATTTCCCTCTGGACAGCAGGAGGCAAGTATATACTACTAAAGGAAGCCACTCGAGCTGTGTTGATCTGATTTGTTAAGTTTTTCGTTATTTGTTGTTGGCTGTTGACTGGAATCTTCAGTATCATCCCTTTTTGAAAAAGAATTGTCACCTACCAACCTACAGAAGACTTGGACACTTTAACCAGTTTCACAATAGTAGCTGCCATAATGAGGTATGTGTTTATGTGTCCATCCCTTGTTAACTCCACAGTGTTCTGCAGGTATCCCTTTTGATGCTTCAGCTGGTATCAGAAAAATTGTGAAAGGATTGAGTTGTAAAAATCTTCATGAGCAAGGTAAATGTGCTTGGCATCGATCCTGACTGGATCGTTTGGGCCCATATTCTGGAATCTATGGAAAACCTACTTGTTAAATCTTAAAACTTTCTTCCTCCATTCTTTCTGCATAATCAGGAAGGCAAAAGGAAATTGTAGAAGTTTCCTATACAATATAGAAACTGGAGTAGGCTACTCAGTGTCTAAAGCTTGTTTGCCATAGGTGAAATGTACCTCTACTCTTTTTTTAATCCCTCAGTCCATATCTTTTTATACCATTATAAAAGAAAACTACTGCAAATGCTGGAGATTTGAAATAAGAACAGTGCTGGAGGAACTCGGCCGATATAGCTGAGTTCTCGTGTCAAGTCTGATACGACCCCTTTGTGGACTTCATGTTAATTTTGTTGCACTCTCCACAGATACTGCCAGACTTGCTGAGTTTCTCTAGCACTTGCTGTTTCTATCCCTTCATTTCATTGCCTAATAAAAAATCTATCAATCCATTTTAAAAGTAAATTACTCAGTATCCATAGCCTTTTGAGAAAAATTGCTGTGACTGCTTAGTGAAAACCAGATAATTTAATGCCTAATTGCATTTTGTGGAAAACCATACTCTTTTGACCTTTGTGAAATACTGTGGGAGCTCAACAAATGTGGCTGCTGTTGCCTGTACAATGGAGGTATTGTATGTTCTTATAGTACTGTTCCATTGCGCCTGCAAAATGAGAGCACTGACTAAAGAATAGAATTATAAAGATTTCCTGCAACAGTAGAAGTGTTGGCTTTGATTGTGTTGCATGATGGGGTTTCCAGCATCAGATAAAATATTTCCATGACAGAATCAGATAAATTAATACTGGTCTAACATTGAGCAAAGCTGCAGCATTTTATTTTATACCAGTTTATATTTCATCAGGCCTACAATAAACTGAAGGCAGTTGTGATAGATTGCAATGGCAAGAGAACAATTGGAGAAACAGACTAGCCCAAAGAAGGAGAGATCAGGCAGAAAATTGTAGTAGTTGAGTAGGGTATAAGCTGTGGGACTGTATATAGTTATTTAGTGTCCTTCTTAAAAATGTTTATATGTATGTACCAGCACGCACAGCCTGAGCTGTGGCTGTCCTGTTAAACTCACCAGCAGCTGTCTCTCTGAGCTAGGCCATACGGTCCAGTATGGTAACTTTACCTATATTACAGGTAATTGTCATGTCACAGTAGGATTTCAAAATGGTCCTTTTTCAGTGGGTTATCATGTTGTCAGTTCATCTCTGGGACCTCTCTTTAAATCTAACACAAGATTGAGGTACATAAAAATTGCCTGTCATTCTTCCAACGAGGGGGGGCAGGGTTGGCAGTAGAAATTGAAGACTTGTTTTGAAACAAAGCTTGGGACTGTCGCTGAATATAGATGTATCAGTATGCTCAGCTTTTGAGATGTTTTACTCAGAATTGCAAGCAAAACAGTTTTCAACCATTGATTCTAGCTGTGACTGTGTCCTATTTTATATAGTAGTTATTTCCCATTTCATGGCGATGTTGCTGTTTTCTTTTTTTGAGATGTTTGTGAAGATACTTTGAGATTTACCAGCTTTCTGATAATCCTTTGGATAGAAAATTCATGCTTATCAGTTTCGTCGCACCTTTTTATGCAGTCACCTAAAGCTAGTAAGTTGGGTTCTGACAAAATATGTGGGTTGAGCAGCCTTTAGATGTAATGATATCACCCTTTAGATTAATAGTATTGAGTTCTTTACCTAATTATGCCACTTCATTTTACTTGACTTTTTCCCTATGTGTTTTGTTTAGTTGGACAAGGAGCAGATCAGCTCTGGTATGAACAAAAATTGGATTTTTTTATTTTCCATGACTCACCGTTAAGAGTTAGCCGTTTAACAATTGACCCTGACTGTGGTAAAGTGTTTAGCAAAGAGTGGTAATGGTGCTTACTACTTCTGGAAGATGAAAAACTTGTGTGCAGTTATGCATTATTTAGTATAGGCTAGATTCTAGACCAGATTTATTTACAGTTCAAAGTTTTCCAGAAGATGCAGAAGAGTGATTAGTAATCCTTCAATGCACAACTGAGAGAATATTTTGTTTATTATCCAATGTTTTCACCAAATTGCTGGATTTTTCAAAATGCATCAAACCACCCGTTAAGTGGAGTGGAAAAACCAGCTGACATTTGGGTGATGCCCATTAGAATGTGAGGTTTTCTGCTCATACTTCAGTTAGAAGGGCCCCACACTGCTGGCTTACTTATATATTTCAAGCATTTGCAACTTCTATTGCCTAGAAGAGCAATGGCAGTAGATAGAAGGGAAGTGGTGCTCCCATGCTAGTTGCATACCATCTGATTTGGAGCTAGAACAATCAGCTGAGTCAAAATCCTGGAGGTGTTTCTAACAGCATGGTGGGTGTACACATGCCACATGACCTGTGGCTTACTGCCACCTCCACCAAGGCCATTAAGAACTGGCCTTGCTCATCCCAAGAGCAGGTTTTGGAAAAAAAAAGACTTTGTTGTTTCAGATTTCTGAGATGTTCAGTTTTATGCTTTTTATTACCTAGAACCAGAGGACGCAGCTGATGCGTGACAATTTTTATTGTAGTTATGTTATGATTTGGAATGCACTGTCTGAAAGTGTGATGGAAGCAGATTGAGTGGTAACTTTGGAGAAGGAACAGAGGAGTGGAACTTAGTTGGATATTATTTCAAAGATCCAGCAAAGTTCCAATAGACTGAATAACTTTTCGTGTGTTATGATTTCATGATGTCCTTTACAACTGCTTCTAGCAAATTCTTGAGTGCAGTCTCTGTAGTAGTAATAAGTAAATGGCTCATTGTGAAGGTATGTATGGCTCTGCCTTGGTAAGGTAAACGGTGCTAGCATATGGCAAGCAGACTCAATATTTTTATGTTGGATCCATTTGTCTGGATTCTCTTTGCGCAATAATTTTCAATTGGAATTACATACACGTAGTCGTCCAAGTATTTAGTCAGTCCTTTCAGAAAATCAAATAGGACTTGCTTTTGCAAAACTAGTGCCTAAGGCACACTAGTTTGTCTAAGATTAATGGTTACTGAATTTATAGTCAAAACACTCTGTCCTTTCTAGTGAAGGTAACCTTTATCTTAACTAATTCATAAATAAATTAATTGTGCCTATCTCTACTGTGTGGTTAGCCATCTTTAAACTTTCAGTTTTTTTACCTTGGATTTCATGTTATTTATATCTTATTGCGTATAGTTTTAAATAACATGAAACCAAAGGCCAAATAGCAAAACAATCTAAGCTTTGTCACAGTTTGTTGTCATGAAAACTTGTACTGGCTTTGATGGCTGAAAACTCAGCTGCAACTTTCTTGGCCCTTCCCTTATTTAAAATATACTCTGATGAATAGCAGGAATTGTGCTCTGATGGTTCAACAAGTTTTCTTTTGTAGCAGTTTTAGTTGACCAGTTGCTTATGGTGTTGTAGTAATTGCTGTCAACAGTGAAATTTAAGACGTTTATTCAAGTTCATGCCACAGGCCAATCAAGTATTTTCTACTGTTGGTTTTGGAATTAAGTAGCATATCATCAAAGTTTTTACGTTAGTATGATTCAGCCTTACATGAAAGTGGGCTGAGTGTAAATTTTTGTTTCATGGAGCTAACCCAATACTTATTCCATAGACTAAGTTTTTGGCTCTGGTGACCCAAAAGAAAACAAATATTTTGTTATGAAGCTGAATTAAAAATGAAATATGTTTTATTCCTTGTTTGATTACTGTTCTTTTTATTGTTTAATGATGTGATTAATAATGGCTTCAGCATTAAATAATTAAAATTGAGCATCTATATTAGGTTGCTTCTATTAATCTGATATCTATTGATGTTATTCC